CAGTTAAAAAAAAAAAATCAAAGATGGGATAGATCCATCGTGGTGGGAGAATAGATAAAACCTCTGACTGCCTGCTCCCAACACTGGATGGATTTATGGCTGAACTACAGGGCAAATGACATGAAGAGCCAGTTGAAGTGAAGCTAATCTGAAATACTGTGAAAAGGGAATATAGAGAAAAGACAGGAGGAGATGTGGAGCGGGTGATCCAGCATGACCACAGGTATGCAGCTGGAAAGACAGAGATATATTATGGTGGTAGAGTCCCTGCCTCCCTGAGAGCATGGGGTTCTAAGCCCTACACAGGGATCCCCCATTCAGAAAAACAGAGAATGGAAAGAGAAATTTAGTAACACCTTGTAGTGGAAAGCAGTGGAAATTTGGTCCACCCTGGAAGCTCAAACTTTAGCATCCCAGGAAAAAAGAAATCTCTTTGTTGCTGCACCAGGGCCAATCACTCTGATTGGGGATTGGGGTAGAGGCCAAGAGGCAAAGCTCCACCCCCAGAGCTCTGCAGCTGTGACTCTGAGAGAGCCTCCAGCCCATGGTAGAATGCTGGAAAGAGAACCTGACAGGAGCTGGTGTGTGTGCCTATAGGGGGGAAAAATTGAACTTCTCCACTTCACCCACAACTCAAGTGCACTTAAGGCACCCTACCTCTAGCCTGCAAATCTGCTGGTCTTGCCCATTCTGTTGTGATCCCAGACAAGGAAAAACATTGTGAGGTTGAAAATCTATACCCCTATGGTTTGACCAGACAGTGTAGGGGGAAAAGGACACTTGGCCAGTTGAAGCCTGGATAGAAGCCCTACACAAGGGTAGCCAGTTACACGTAGGGGCTGATTTTTGTGTTTGTTTGTTTGTTTGTTTTATTCCTTCCTACTCTGAAAGGCAGCAGAGGAGTATCAGGGAGCCAGGTGGAGCTGAGGTATTCCAGTGGTGTGGGTTTTGGTCTGGATATGCTTCTGTCTTGGAGACAGAGAGGTATGTTCTGGGCCCTTTGGGGGCATTAAAGGGAAGCATATCTGAGTTTCTCTGAGTACAGTCAGCCAGCTCAGCTCTGAGAAAAATAGGAAGTGCCCACCCCCAATCCTAAAGAATATAAGCACTACCCGTAACATGAGTCTGTTTAAACCACCCAGCAAGGTCCAGGATAACCCCACAGAGTGAAGATCCATGGAGAAAGGGAAAGCATTTCAGAGCAGGGACAGTTAAGGGGTGAGACGCCAGGCAGATCCAGTCTCTGAGTTACAGAGGGCCTACCAACAGGACTGCTTGGGTCTCTGCACTCCAAAGTGTCAGACGGGGGGGGGGGGGGGGGTAGAAAGCCAGGCAGGAACAGCAACTGACATTGATTGTACCAGAGAACCCACCAGAGGAACTGCATTGACACACCAAGGGGCCAGACTTGACCAACATCTAAGAAAACCCAATGAATGCCACAAATAGCAGATCCAAAAAGATGAACATAGTAGGCACCAAAATCTACAGAGTCAAAGACAACTTGTTTTTCTTTCCCCATTTCTTTTTATTTCTTGAATATTATTTTGTGTATAATATTTTTTCCTCCAGATTTCACTTTGTTTTTCCTTTTATTTTTATTTTTTTTGGCTCCTATCCCTTACATATCTTTCCCTTCTCTCCATTTATTTTTTTTCTTTCTCTTTTTTTGTTAATTTTTATTTTCTCTTTTGTTTTTCTCTTTCTATTCCATATATTGTTTTATTCTGTATTATCATCTTTTTAACTATTATCAGTTTTTATATATATTTGTTTATATACATATATTTCTCTTCATCTCTTGTACTCTTATTTTTTTCTTTCTTCCACTTTCTTTTCTTTCACATTCTTCTCATTCACTTCCTTCTTTCTTCACTAGTTCCCTAAGTCTCTTATATTATAGTATTCCATTTTATTTACCTTTTTCCCTCTTCTCTTTCCTTATGTGTTATTATTGGGGGGGGGGGCAGGGGAGAGGGTCAGTTCTGTTTTGTCTTGTATGATTCTGTCAGAATCTGTAAAACAGCTCTCATGACATGGTTGGGATTGAGCCTCATAGGCAGCCAGCCCAACAACCAAGCCAACTCGCAAAAGAGACAACAGCACTAGGAAGCCAATTACAATAGGAGGGCCCACATATTCCATACAAGGGACATTACTAGACCACCCAGCTCAGAAGATCAAAAACACTACACCACTGGGTCCCACAAGACACTCACTACAGAAGGCTAGCCCACCAGGACTGGTAGACATAGCATATCAATCCAGTAAATAAATTCAATGCAGCCAAAATCAGGAAATAAAGAAACAAGTATCAAATGAAAGAAGATGATAATTCTTCAGAAGAGGAGCTAAATGAAATGGAGATTAGCAATTTATCAGATATAGAATTCAGAGTAATGATTATAAGGATGCTCAACAGCATGAAGAAAATATACAAACTATGCAAAACAACCAGGCAGAAATAAAGAATGACAGCAGAAATAAAGAATACACTAGAAAGAATAAGCAGCAAATTAGAGAAAGCCAAGGATCAGATCAGTGAATTAAAAGACAAGGCAGATAAAGTCACTGAATCAGAGAGAGAGAAAAAAAAAAAGCAATTAAAAAACAGAAGGATAGTTTAAGTAGTTGTGGGACAATATGAAATGTGACAACATTCACATCATAGGAATACCAGGAAGAGAAGAAAGTGAGCAAGGGATAGAAAACCTGTTTGAAGAAATAATGGCAGAAATATTCCCTGACTTGGTGAAGAAAAATGTAACACTAGTCCAAGAAGCACAGAGAGTCCCAAGCAAGAACATGAAAAGTCTGATGACAACACACATCATAATTAAAATACCATAAATTAAAGACAAAGAAATAATTTTAAAGACAGGAAGAGAAAAGCAATGTGTTACCTACAAAGGAGCTCCCATAAGACTGTCAGCTGATTTCTCAACAGAAACAATACAGACCAGAAGGGAATGGCATAAAATATTCAAGGTACTGAAAAACAAAGATCTTAAACAAAGACAATTCTATCCAACCTGGTTACCATTCAAACTAGAAGGTAAAACAAAGAGCTTCCCAGATTAAAAAAAAAAAAAAAAAAATGCTAAAGGAATTTATTATACCCAAATCATTTCAAAAAATATTAAAGAGACTATTGTAATAATAAGAGCAAATATATAGAAAGAATTATAGGCATAAAGAATATAAATGGCATGCGGCCAGTGTAGCTCTGTGGCTGAGCATCAACCCATGCACCAAGAGGTCGCCAGTTTGATTCCTTGTCAAGGCACATTCCCAGATTGTGAGCCAAATCCCCAGTGGGGGGCATGCAGGAGGTGGCCAATTGTTCTCTCTCATCAATGTTTCTATCTCTCTTTCCCTCAACCTTCCTCTCTATCTAAAATTGATAAAGAAAATTAAAGAATTAAAATGGCAATAAATAAGTACCTATCAATAATAACCTTAAATGTAAATGGATTAAATGATCCAGTTAAAAGACATAAGGGAGCTGAATGGATAAGAATGCACGATCCAACCCTGGCCGGTTTGGCTCAACAGTTGGAGCATCAGCCTGTGAACGAGAGAGTCTTGGGTTTGGTTCCCGCTAGGGGCACATACAAAAAAAAAGAAGAACATATAATCCATATATATGCTTTCTACAAGAGACCCACCTCAGAACAAATGGTGCATACAGGATGAAAGTGAAGAGATGGAAAAAGTTCTCTATACAAATGGAAACAAACAAAAAACAAAAAGCTGAGGCAGCAATACTCATGTCTGAGAAAATAGACTTCAAAATGAAGGCCATCATAAGAGACAAAGAAGATCACTACATAATATTAAAAATATCAATTGAAAAAGAGGTTATAACCCTGGTAAACATATATACACCCAGTATAGGAGCCCCAAAATATATTTTAAAACTTCTGGATGACTTTACCAAAGAGATAAACAGCAATACAATCATAGTAAGGAACTTTAACACCTTACTCACATCACGGAATACATCATCTAGCAAAAAAAAAATCAACAAGAAAACAGCAACCCTAAATGACACACTAAATCAGATGGGTTTAACTGACATTTACAGAACATTTTACCACTAAGCTGCAGATTATACAATTTTCTCAAGGACCCATAGGACATTCTCAAAGACTTCATTTTAGTACACAAACTAAGTCTCTACAAGTTCAAGAAGATTGAAATTATATCAAGCATCTTCTCGGATCACAATGGTATAAAACTAGATATCAACTACAATAAAAATATTCAAAAACATAGAGACTAAATATCATGTGGTTAAACAATAAATGGGTTACCAATGAGATCAAGAAGGAAATAAAAAAAACTTCCTGGAAACAAATGAAAATGAACACACAACAAAAAATAATTAAATGTGACACAGTGAAGGCAGTCCTGAGAAGGAAGTTTATAGTATTACAGGCCAACCTCAAAAAACAAACAAACAAAAACTAATATACTTGCTAACTCTAGAACTTAAAGAACTCAAAAGAGAAAAAAATAAAAGCCCAAAGTTATTAGAAGGAAGGAAATAATAAAAATAGAGTAGAAATAATAAGATAGAGACTAAAAAGAACAACAACACAAAAGATCAATAAAACCAAGAGCTGGTACTTTGAAAAGATAAATAAGATTGATGAAACTTTAGCCACACTCGTCAAGAAACAAAGAGAGAGGACCTAACATAAAATCAAAATAAAGTAGTTTAAGTAACAACTTACTCCACAGAAACACAAAGGATTGTAAGAATATCTCAACAACAAATATATGCCAAAAAATAGGACTACCTAGGAGAAAAGGACAAGTTCCTGAAAACATACAATTACCCAAAACTCAGCTAAAAAGATTCAGAAAACCTGATCAAACCAATAACAACTAATGAAATGGAAGCATTAAGTAATAAAGTCCAAGCAAACAAAGTCCTGGTCTAAACAGGCATCAAAGGGGAGTATTACCAAACAGTCAAGAAAAACCAACAACTAGTACTCGCTTCAGCAGCACATATACTAAAATTGGAATGATACAGAGATTAGCATGGCCCCTGCACAAGTATGACATGCAAATTCATGAAGTGTTTCATGTTTTTCACAGGAATGAACTCAAAATGGATAAAAGACTTAAATGTGACTCATGAATCCATAAAATCCTAAAAAAAACTGTAGGCAACAAAATTTCAGACATCATACGCAGATGAATTTTTACTGATACATCACCTAAGGCAAAAGAAACAAAGGAGATAATGAACACATGGGTCTACATCAAACTCAATAGCTTGTGCACAGCAAAAGAAACAACCACCAAAATGGAAAGGCAACCCACTCTATGGGACAGCACAATTACCAACAATACATCAGAAAAGGGGTTAATTTTCAAAATGTGTAGAGTGCTCAAACAACTCAACAAAAAAAAGACAAAGAGCCCAATTAAAAAATGGGCAGAGGACCTAAATAAACACCTCTCCAAATGGGACATACCATACAAGTGACCAAGAGACATATGAAGAAATGCTCAACATCGCTAATCATCAGAGAGATGCAAATTAAAACAACAATAAGGTATCACCTCACACCTGTCAGAATGGCCGCCATCAACAAATCATCAGTGTTGGCGAGGGTGTGGAGAAAAGGGGACTCTAGTACACTGCTGATGGGAATGCAGACTGGTGCAGCCACTATGGAAAACAATATGGTGTTACCTCAAAAATTAAAGACTGAACTTCCATTAGACCCAGTGATCCTACTTCTAGAAATATACCCTAAGAAGCCTGAAACACCAATCAGAAAGAATATATGTACCCCCATGTTCATAGCAGCACTATTTACAATAGCTAAGATCTGGAAACAGCCCAAATGTCCATCAGTAGACAAATGGATAAAAAAGCAGTGGTACATATACACAATGGAGTACTACACAGCTGTAAGAAAGAAAGATCTCTTATCCTTTGAGACGACATGGAGGAACCCGGAAAGTATTATCCTAAGTAAAACAAGCCAAGCAGAAAAAGACAAATACCACGTGATCTCACTTATTTGTGGAATATAATGAACATAACAATCTGAGGAATGGGATAGTCCCAGAAACCTGGAAGTGGGGTACAGGCTGACAATCCCCAGAAGAGGGGTGGGGAGATAAGCCACAGAACTTATATGCATGTATGCATGAACAATGGACATGGACAACAAAGCTGGGGACAGGGTGGGGAGGAAGGGAGAGGGGGGAAATTAGTGAGGGGAAAAGGAGAAACATACATAACAAAAAGAAAAGAAAGAAAGAAAGAAAGAAAGAAAGAAAGAAAGAAAGAAAGAAAGAAAGAAGAAGGAAGAGGAAGGAAGGAAGGAAGGAAGGAAGGAAGGAAGGAAGGAAGGAAGGAAGGAAGGAAGGAAGGAAGGGAGGGAGGGAGGGAGGGAGGGAGGGAGGGAGGGAGGGAGGGAGGGAGGGGAGGGGAGGGGAGGGGAGGGGAGGGGAGGGGAGGGGAAGGGAAGGGAAGGGAAGGGAAGGGAAGGGAAGGGAAGGGAAGGGAAGGGAAGGGAAGGGAAGGGAAGAAGAAAAGAAGAAGAAGAAGGAGGAGGAGGAGGAAAGGAAGGAATGAAGGAAGGACAACTATGCTTCTCAAAATATTCTAAAAAATAAAGAGAAGTGAAGATTTCTAGGCTCTTTGTATATGGCCAGCATTATTCTAATTCCAAAAGCAGATAAAGTCTACAAAGAAAGGAAATTACATGCCAATATCCCTGATGAACACAGATGCTAAAATCCTGAACAAAGTACTAGCAAATCGAATCCAACAATATATCAAAAAAATTATTCACCATGACCAAGTGGGATTCATCCCAGAGATGCAAGGCTGGTACGATATTTGCAAATTAATATATGTGTTAAATCACATAAATAAATTAAAAGATAAAAACAACATGATCACATCAATAGACACAGAAAAATATTAGACAAATCTAACACCCATATTTTATAAAAACTGTCACAAAGTGGCAATAGAGGATCATACCTCAACAAAATAAGGGTCATATATGACAAACCTACAGCCAACATCATACTCAATGAGAAAAACTAAAATCATTTTCACTAAGAACAGGAACAAGACAGGTATGTCCACTTTTATCAAAGTTATTCAATATAGTATGGGAAGTCCTAGCCTCAGTGATCAGACAAGAAGAAAAACTAAAAGGCATTCAAATTGAAAATGAGGAAGTAAAACTGCCATTACTCACAAATGAAATTATATTGTACATAGAAAACCCTAAGGACTTCATCAGAAAACTACCAGTCATAATAAAATGAATTCAGCAATATAGCAGGATACAAAATTAACATCCAAAAATTGATGGCATTTTTATATACCAGTAAGGAACCTCTCAGAAAGGAAAACAAAACAAAATCCCATTTACCTTCCCCCAAAAAAAGTTAAGATACTTAGAAATAAATTTAACCAAGGAGAAAGAAGACCTGTACTTGAGAAATTACAAGATGTTGATAAAAAAAGATAAGGAAAGATATAAACAAGTGGAAGAACACACTGTGTTTCTGGATTCAAAGAATTAACATCATTAAAATGTTCAAACTACACAAAGCAAACTATAGATTCAATGCAATTCATATTAAAATACCAACTGCATATTTCACACATCTAGAACAAATATTCCAAAAGTTTATATAAAATTTTTAAAAAGCCCCTGAATAGCAACAGCAATCTTGAAAAAATAAAGAACAAAGTTGGAGAGATTACAATATTAGATATCAGGTTATACCACAAAGCCATTGTAATCAAAACAGCCTGATACTGGCACAAGTACAGACATACAAATCAATGGAACAGAACAGAGAACCCTAAAATTGACTCAAGCCATTATGCTCAATTAATATTTCGCAAAGTAGGCAAGAGCATAAAATGGAGTAAAGAGGGTTTCTTCAAAAAATTGTATTGGGAAAATTGGACAGCTACATGAAAAAAAACAAACAAACAAACAAATAAAAAAAAACTGAAAATAGGCCACCAACTTACACCTTACACAAAAATAAACTTAAAAAAGACTTAACTGTAAGTTGTGAAACCATAAAAATCTTAGAAGACAATGTAGGCAGCAAAATCTCAGTCACCTCACATAGCACAATTTTCTCCAATATATTGTCTAAGACAAGAAAAACACTAAAATATAAACAAATGGGAGTACATAAAACTAAAAAGCCTACACGGCAAAATAAACCAACATCAAAAAGAAAAGGGAACCCACTGTATGGAAGAACATATTTGCCAATGATACATCTAATGAGGGTTTAATTTTAAAAATATATAATGTACTCATACAACTCAACAAAAGAAAGACAAACAATCCAATTAAAAAATGGGCAAAAGACCTGAATAGACACTTTTCCAAAGAAGACATACAACACAGACCGTCTCCCAGAACCAAACTGGAATTACAACTATAACAGAGACAAATCGATGGGAAAAAAAAAAAAACAACAACAGAAAAGCAGCTTGCGAGGACCATATACCCAGGGACACTGACTAGACACTGGTAGCATTGCGAAGACATGAGAGGGGGGCTGGGAGCCCACAGACAGCAGCGGTCTTAGCTGGGAGAAGCGCCTTCAGGTTAAACTCCCAAGTGGCTCCACAGCGCAGAGCCTGGACAGAGGCTAAAAAAGCCACAGCCACTCACTTCGGCTCCAGCAAGGAAGGACAGACTGAACTGGAACTGTGTGGGGACATTTGGATTTGGAGGGCACTCAGAGATTTTGCTGAGTTGCGAACATGCAGAACTATGGCCATCTTGCTCCTTCCCAGGGATCTGGGAAGAGGCAGCAGCCCCTCCTTCAGAGATCCAACACTGTGGGCCTCTGAAATGCTAATGGAGGCCCATAAACAACCACCACCTGCCCCACACTTGGGAAATCCCTTACTCTAAGCACCTGAGGGAGTTTTTCAATCAACTGACAACACAAAACTCTTCAAGTAACCCGGACTGCTAGCCTCCAGGCAAAAAGCTAGAGGATAACAGTACCTTTCCTGGGCTAGCAACTTTAACCAGGAAAGTAAGACTTGGCAGTGGTATTTAATGTGAGTCCTCCCCCGCATCTAAACCCAGGAGAGGGAGCCACAAACAGCAGAACAACACCCACAGGAAAAACTTGACAGGCACCAAAGCCCACTGTGATAGCCAAAATGGTGAAACACAGAAACAAAAGCCAAATGGAAGTATAAGAGACCTCCACCAAAGATGACATGAATGTGGAGCAGTTAGACATGTTAACAGAGCTAGAATACAGAGCCATGATCTTGAGGAAGCTCAACAGCATGAGGAAGAAAATAGAGATGCTGAAAATAAAACAATTGGAAATTAAAAACCACCAAGAAGAGATCAAAATGACATTTCAGAAATAAAGAACACATTGGAAGGTCTAAAAAGCAGAATAGAAGAAGCTGAGGACCGGATCACTGAATTAGAAGACAGGGTAGAAAAAAATCAACCAATCAGAAAACCAATAGGAAAAAAATGATTAAAAAACAGGAAGACAGCTTAGGTGAACTGTGGGACAATGGGAAATGTAATAATATTTGCATCATAGGAGTCCCAGAACAAGAAGAAAATGAGCAAAGGTTAGAGAATATATTCAAAGAAATAGTGACAGAAAACTTCCCTAACTTGGTGAAGGAAGAAGGCATTCAAGTTCAAGAAGCACAGAGAGCCCCAAGTAAGAAGAACCCAAACAGGCCCAAACCAAGAGAAATAGTAATTAAAATGCCAAACATTAAAGACAAAGAGAGAATCCTAAAAGCAGCAAGAGAGAAGCAACAGGTTACCTACAAAGGAAACCCCATAAGGCTCTCAGCTGACTTTCAACATAAACACTACAGGCCAGAAGGGAATGGCATGCAGTAATCAAGGTCATGAAAAACAAGAATCTGAACCCAAGACTACTCTACCAAGCAAGGCTATCATTCAAAATAGAAGCTCAAATAAAGAGCTTCCCAGACCAAAAATAAATAAATAAATAAGACTAAGGGAATACATTAGCACCAAACCAGCACTGCAAGAAATGTTAAAAGGACTGCTGTAATTAGCAGGA